GACAATTTTTTATATATGCCTATTTATTAACAGACATACCAGACTCTAGGAGGAAAAATACCATAACTACCCCTTCTAGAATATATATATCTTACTAATAGGCTTGGGCATGGGTCAATGCATCGCTACTCGATCCACCAACACCAACTTTTTCTTTCTTGGATCTTAACACAATCTACTCTTGAAAAAAATGGATTTCTCTCCCCTTTGAACTCTTTAATTGACCTAAAAGATGAGATGTAAGAGGTTTAGGGGTTTTTATGCTCAAAATATAAGCAGCTTCGGTTTATTATACTCTGACCACCTAACTTTGCTTAAATGACAAAATGCACCTAAACTTGGTAACACGTCCATTTTTCATCATATAACATATTAAACCCATGAAAATTAAATTTTCCAAAAACATGGATGTTACATTCTCTGTAAATGGTGTATCATTCACGCTATGAGGGGATCCTGTGTACGACGATCTCACGTAGAAATGGTTAACCACTAGTTCCAAGAGCCATCTATAAGCCTGATAAGGAAAAATTGATGTTCTCCCTAAGCGGGTAACACCCTACTCGTATTACCATGGTTTTCCAAGTAGGATATGTAATACATAGGGACTCATCCTTCCCCATTCCTACCTTAGATCTCACTATTGAAGATCAAGTCCTATCTTTAAACCATGTTGATGTACATAGGTACATACCAGTACCCTCACTACAAGAAGGATGAAATTGAAGCTCTCGTGAAAGATATGCTAAAAACAAGGGTAATACAGTATATCTCTAGCCCATTCTCGAGTTCGGTGTTGCTTGTGAAGAAAAGATGGGAGGTGGAGGTTTTGTGTAGATTACAGAGCCTTAAATAAATGTATGGTGATGAATAAGTTTCGAATACTTGTAATAAATGAATTGTTGGATGAATACAAGGGGCTCGAGTATTTTCAAAACTAGATATGAAGTTCGGATATCACTAGATTTGGATGCGGGTAGAGGACATTCAAAAGAAGACATTTCGCACACACCAAGGACATTACGAGTTCTTGATGATGCCTTCGGGTTAGTCAACGCTCTGATTGCCTTTCAAGGTCTAATGAACGAGGTATTCAAACAATTTAAGACCCATTTTGTACCAATGATAGATTTGTCTTTTGGCCTCGGTACGAGTCTCCAAACTTGGTTTCTTTCAAATTCTCGAAGTTCATCTTGCATGGCATTAATCCAATCAAGATCTTGCAATGCTTCAGATGGCTTCTTTGGCTCTATAGTGCTGAGGAAGTTCACGAAAAGACACTCGTTAGCAGTAGCAAGTCGTGTTTTCACTCTATCATTTACATTACCAATTATTTGAGTAGGGGGATGATCTTTTGTCCACTTGTGAGTACAAGGTAGGGTTTGAAAATCAGTTAAGTTGTTCTGATCATCATACTCATCAGTTACAACTTGAATTTCAGTTTTAATTTCAGCTCGTATATCAGATTCTACTTTAGCTTGAATCTCAGAACTTTCAGCTTCCTCAGCAGGTATAGAAGACTCAGATTGATCAACAGATTGAACAATCTCTGGTTGAGTCTGTGCCTCCGCTTGAACAGACTCGGATTTAGTAGCTTCAACAGATTCAGGTTAAACAACATTTGATGTTGAACAACATTTGATGTTGAACAACCAGCTTCAGATGGTCCAGAAAGTTCAGTAATTTGTGGAATCGGGACCACTGGTTCATTCATCTTGGGTAGATCAAATATTTTATAATCTTCAAGAATATCCCAAGTTATATCAAATGCGTCTTTAAACAATGAATCTAAATTTGACTTAACAAAAGAATCAGAATTCAATGTCTTGTTTGTTATAGGTTCTACACTAGTTTGTGTATAAGCTAACTGTTGTAGATTGAGACCTGAACTGAGTTGTTTAGAGTCGAAGATTCATCCAATCTGGCATTGATGCTTTCAATGACAATCTTTGATTGTTTGATGTAGACTCGGAAGGCTTTAGACTTTAAAAAATAACCAATGAAGTTGCCTTCTTTTGCCTTTTTATCGAATTTCCCGAGATTGTCTCGATCATTAAGCACAAAGCATCTGCAGCCAAAAACAAGAAATAATTTAACGTTAGCCTTTTAATTATTTATCAACTCATAAGCAGATTTATGAAAGTGTTTGATGATGATCGTTCTATTTTGCGTGAAGCAGGCGGTAGATACAGCTTCAGCCCACAAATACAGGGGTAGACCAAAGTAAGACAACATAGTACGAGCAACCTCGACTAAAGTCCGGTTTATTCTTTCAACAACTCCATTTTTTTGCGGAGTTCAAACAGTAGAAAAATTATGAGAAATTCCAACAGTTTGAAGAAAACTTTGAAGGGTCTCATTAGTAAACTCAGTGTCATTGTCACTTCGAAGCTTTTGAACTGGAAGTTATAGAAGAACTTGAATACGCTTGATAAATACGATAATTAACTCCAGCATTAGACTTGGATCTTAGAAACTCCAGCCACGTGTATCTGGAATACTCGTCGACCATCACCAAGATGTACTTTTTGCCTCCTAGCGATTGAGTATGCATTGGTCCACATAGATCCATGTGAATCATCCTAAGAGGATATTTACAAGAAGAAGCAGATTTTTCTTTATGTGAAGTTCTTGTAATCTTTCCCATTTCACATGCAGAACAAAGAGAGTTTGTTGGATTTAAGCTTGTGCTTTATTGTTGTATTCAAGTGTTTCTTCTTTGTTAATTTTGTCATAGTAGTTGTAGGTATAAATAGTTTTCTTAATTGTAATTAGTGTAAGGATTCTCATTTGTAATCATTCTTGAAAGATTAATACAATTACTTTTGTCTAAGATTTTCTCTAACTATTCATCTTTTCTATTTTGCTAAAGTGATAATCTGATTGAAGAATCTGGGAATTATAATAGGTATCAGAGCAAACTGCAGCAATTTAGATTGAATTTGCCGAGAAACTGGAAAATTAGACTGGAAATTTGGATTGTTCTTAGTGTTCTTGAGTGTTCTTGAACATCTTCTTCATCTTTCTACTAATTTCATCGAATATTTGCTGTTTGATCATTGTATTACATTGAATTGTGTGCGAAATCAAGATTGAAAACTTTTTGGTTAAACAATTTTCATAACTGAATCGATTCATTGATTCAATTTTGGATTTCTGTGATTTTCGTATCTTGAGTCTGTTCTTCATCTTCTTAGCAATTTGAGTGAATTTGATCGATATCTACTTGAATTAGTTGCTGAATTGGTTTTTGTGATTGAATTTCGAGCAAATCGTGTATATTACATTCAATTTGACTCAAATTTGAGCGAATTTGATTGATTTCTGGATATCTTTGTAAGATTTCTTGCTCATCGCTCATTGAATTTGTTCATCAAGCGATAAGAAGTACTCATCGGACATTGAATCTGAGTATTTTGTGATTTGATAGTATTGTCCGACTAGGTTAATTCGTCGCTCAATTCATATTGTAATTGTACTTGTATTTTTTGATCGATAGGCTTGCTATCCGGTGAGATTTGTATCCGATGAAAGTTGAATTTGTATGCGAATATCCTTGTTAATCTTGCTATCCAGTGAATTTGTTGTATGGTAAGAACTACATCCAGATAAGTGTGTTGTGTGATAAAGCTCTTGATAGTTGATATGTGTTGAGAATTTAACACATAAAGCACTCTTTTTACGTCTTTCTAGTTATAATAATTTCTTTTCATTCCCACTTTGAGTCATTTTTATTTATTTCTCTATACATTTGTTATTATGAAGCTAAATATTGTGGTTGACTTATTGATATGTTTGGATGAAGCTAATAGAGAGTTTTTGTGAAACCAGCAGATGCTACAACATTGGAGCAGCATCGATCTGATACATGCGCAACTTTTTGGAGGGCTTAATGATTAAGAC